ATTCCAATTCACAGTGACCAACACAGAGTTGAACTGTGCTCCCCAGGGTTTTCAGGGCTGTGACCTTTTAGAAGCAGATTATCAGGGCTTTCTTCCAAGGTACCTCTGGGTGGTTTTGAACCGCCAACATTTTCATTTGTAGCCAAACATTTAACCATTTGTGTCACCCAGGGACTTCCTTACACGCCATAGTCCTTCCTACAGAAATTATTCCAACTTAAATTTACTACATTTTCTAATAAAGCACATTTCTTTAAATAGATAATAAAATCACGTATGCATTCCTTTTCAGTTTACAAATTAATTTCACATTCACATACAATTCTTAAATGAGGCGTGACTGTTGGCCACAATTAATAGAGAAAACTAAGACTATACAGTCAGCAATAAGCAGCACTGGGACTGGAACTATTAATATTTTATTCTAACTATAATTTTCTCAATGAAAAATTGGAAAAGTGATCTTATTATGGAATACCATCTCCTATCTGATAGTTGGTTGTACTGTGGTGGTTTCTGTGTTGCTGAGATGCTGTAAACTTTGCCACTGTAAACTATGCAAATACTAGCAGAGTCACCCATGGTGGAGAGTTTTCAGCAGAGCTTCTAGACTAGAAGATACTAGGAATAAAGGCCTGGTGATCTACTTCCACAACTTAACCAATGACAGCTTCACGGATCACAACAGAATACTGCTAGGCAACGTGCTCCCTAGGTTGAAAGGCAGTACAGAAAAGTCACAACAATAGACTCAAATACACCAAGGATCACGAAGATGGCACGGGACCTGGCAATGTTCTGCTTTGTTATTACATAAGTTTGCCGTGAGTCACAGTCAATTCTAGGGCAACTAACAGCAACAACATTCTGGAATAAAATACCACTCAAGACATTACCTCAGATGCTGCTTATATTACAGAAATACTTAAAGCCAAAATCAAAAACAAAATTCTGAAAGAATAGGAAGCAATTGTCTAACCTAAATCAAAACCTCTCCTCTGGATTTCACATATGTATAGTTACTAGTGTTCAACAGGAGAAAGGGGAACTGTCCTCAGGTCAGGTAGACCTGAGTTTTAGTAATATCTTTACCATTTATTATCCATTCAGTATCAATTTCAATATCCTCATCTGTGTAATGGGAAAGCAAAACCTTTTCCTAAGACTGTGTGAGGATTAGTTCCCAACACCAAGAAGGCAACCAATAAATGAGCATCTACACTAATCACCATCCATGGTTGGTGTGTGGGTTAAGTGACCGTTGTCTCCCGCCTTTTCTAGATTCTGAATACCCCCTTGTCTGCATCTGTTCAATGGGAATACAACCAGCCTCCCAGCCGACCTCACCAGGGAATGAAGATAACAAAAGAGCTGGCAGAGACATTATGCAAATACTAAATATTATTAAAACATTAATGAACTCTGGCAATTTCCCTGAATTTTGATAAATAGCATTTATTATGCACTGCCAGCCTCTCATACAATCTGGGCTCTCAAATATTAACTAGATAATAACAGCAATCATTTTCCTAAAAGACCTAGGTGTAGTGAAATAGGAGTGAGTCTAGATGATTCCAGCTAAAACCTGCCTCCAAAGGAATCAGAATCTCTGGACAAAAAGAGAATGTTGGGAGAGGCCATGGAGATCACAGTGACCATGGTGACCACAAGTGGGCTCAAATCAGCTCCAACACCTCTCTAGAACCCCACTTTGATAGGACAGTGAGGTGAGCCTTCTTGGTGCAGAGAGGTCATAGATTATGACAACGGTCTACTATCCTGTTGCTCTTCTGCATAAAGCTGCCTCCAAACCAGACAAAATGAAAAAGATCTAGAAGGCTGTCAGGCTTCAGTCCAGGCCAACAATCTCATACAGAAAGACAATGGCTGTCCCACGCCCCTCTGCAAGTAGTCATGGAGTCGATTCCAACTCATGGTGACTCCATGTTACAGAGTGAAACTAGTGCACTGGTTCACAGGGTGCAAGTACCTCCTCCAACCACCACTACCCCTCACCCAAAAAAAGCAGTGCTATCCACAACTCCATTAAAGAAGCTTTTACCAGATTCCTCTGACATTGTATCTGTGTGAAGGGATAATGTTTTTAATCTTTTGACAATCCTCAGGTGCAGCTCAAAGGCAAGCAGAACAAAGCTGGGATGACTCCCCCACACAAGGCCCAGAAATGATGGCCTGGAGCCATTCAGTGGTTGTTGTTATGTACCCTCCAGTGGGACAGACTCATAGCCACCCCTCCTTGGGTTTTAGAGGCAGTATCATAGGGAAGTAGATTGCCCAACCTTCACCTTAACATACCACAGTCATTAAGATGCTTCATTTGCATATTCATGGAAATCCAAGGCTGTGACAAGTGAAACAAAGTGCACAAAAAGAGATTTTGTTTTTTTTAAGTCAAGCAAAAATCTGCTTTGTTGTTGTTATGTGCCGTCAAGTCAAACCCAACTCATAGTGACCCCTCCTTGGGTTTCCGAGGCAGTATCACTACGGAAGTAGGATTGCCCAACCTTCCTTCCGAGGAGTGGCTGGTGGGTTTGAACCGCCAGCCATCTGGTTAGCAGGCAAGTGTCTTAGCCACTATGCTACCAAATCTGCTTTAGGGAAGGTAAATCCATAGAGGGACCCATGCTGTCACCAAACTCTCATTTATCTGGAGTAGCCAGCACCTCACTAAAGAAAGCAAGGAACTCACAAATGGATGCAGCACCACACGCAGGCAAGCTCATTTCACCATCTGCCTTCTAGTGTCCAGAGGGATAAAAGGCTTAAATGACACTCTCCTCAATTTTCTCTCCTGCAGGTGGAAATATCAAATTCCCAGGAGCAAGAAGGACTTCTATTGCAAAGTCAGTTGAGTAAAAAGGAACAGAAGTAAATTTTGTTTACCTGTCAACACAATGCCACCAGTGACATTAAATACATGTGTAAGTTAAAGGTTCTAGCATAATGCAGTTTTCATATCTGGATAAAGGCTTTGTTATTCAGTGTGTCAGCTATGTATTTAAAGTTAAGTTCCTCATGAGATAGGCATCTAAATTTACCCCTCCTCATACCCTGAACCATTTTCTGATCCATGACTATCCTGACTTTTCAGATACCAGTACCTTTTTCTACTAAAGGACCTAGTGTAAGAGACATCAGAACTGGGTAATCATAGTACAATTGCAGACTTCCATTGTTTATGCCAAAGAGAAAGGCCATGGTTAAGCAACTTACATAACTGCCCCTGAGCCTTTTCTGTGTGTCCCCACCCTCTTGACAATTCCTGTACTGGATCTAGAATACAATTACTGTTTCAGATCTAGAAGCTTTGTAAGCTCGGTAAAATTCCCTCTGGAAGCTCACTTCCACTAGGCGAGGAATTTTTAAAATAATGATAATTAATTAATCTAAAGAGCTCTGGTAGCATAGTGGCTAAGACACTTGACTGCTCACCAGATGGCTGGCGGTTCAAACCCATCAGCCACTCCTCGGAAGGAAGGTTGGGCAATCCTACTTCCGTAGTGATACTGCCTCGGAAACCCAAGGAGGGGTCGCTATGAGTCAGGGCTGACTCGACGGCACATAACAACAACAACAAAGAGTTGAATAATCAAAAATATCAGTAGAGACCTTTTCTATTCCATACACAATCTAGGGTATACTTGGGGAGAGTGGAACAAAAGGTAAGGCAGCCTCAAGCTTTAACATGTTTCATCGAACTTCCCAAAGCGTTACACAGACGACCTAACGCTCAGTTTGTATTACCGCCACCCGCGCCCTGAGGAGAACGAAAACATAGAGTGAAGATGTCCCAAGGCAGAACCAGCAACAACTGAAACTGAGCTGAACAGAGAGGGAGGCAAATGCTCTGTCTTCCTCGGTGGCCATAAGACCCTTTCCAATCAAATTTTCCACTACCTGGAATTTACAGAGCGCACACAGAGACCCGCCGTTAGGGCAACGCTACGCTCTGGTCCAGTTCTGCGGAATGTTAACCACCTGGCCACGTACCGCAAGATAGCCACGGTGTCACCAGTGGAACTGCAGACTGCATCCAAGGCTCCCAACGACAGGGCACCTGGAGCAGGGTTCGATGTGCAAGGCCTGGTTTATTTTCCGTTAAACGCTATTCAACAATCGGTTTAAGGACCCGTAGCTGCGGGTCTGGACGGCATTATTTCCTTCCCTTCTGTATCTTCCAGGTTCGAAACTCAGGACATATATTTTGGACAATACAAAAAGGAGGCTGACGCTTCTCGGGATCAGATCTCAGCCTGGTCATTTTCGAGCTGAGGGTTAGGAATTTCGAGTTCAGCAAGAACCCGAAAGAAGCACCGGAAATGCTTCCAATCTCTTCAAAGGGAAGTCTATTTGCAAATCAAAGTTGCAGGAACTCCGGGAGCCCAGCCTACTTCTGTGGGTTACTCGGGAACACCCAACAAGTTTGGCCACCGGAGACTCGGCTTGACAGCGCCACGGCGCAAGACTAGAGAAGAAACTTGTCGCCCGGGCGCTGAGCCAGAGCCCCTAAGTCGTCGGACCCACGTTCAGGAGAGGACCCGAGACCTCGAGATAGGAAGGTGCAAGTCAGGCTCCGGGAGCAAAAGGCGCCACCGAGTCTCACCTGGACCGCGCTGCTTCCAGGGGCTTCCCCCTACACTGAGACTTTTCTTCAGGAACACCTCACCTGCCTACCACCCCTGGGCTGGTGAAAAATTAACAAAAGAGTCAATGAACCAAGAGAAAAATGAGAGATTTCAAGCGAAGTACAGTAAGCAGAGAAGGGAAAGCACCTCAGCCAGCGACGGAGAAAGAAGGGAAGAGGCGGGACAGAGATAGGTTATACCCCAGGCACCAGGATCCAGTAAGGAAACCCAGCAAGAGAGCGCCAGAAGGGAGAATGGGTTTTCTACCCCTGTCCCATCACTCGCGCACGCACACACACGCGCACACACACACACACGCTAATACTCACACATCTCCCCTTTTTTCCTCCTTACCCAGCATGGAAAAGATGAAATCCTTGGCTGTGTGAATCTCCAGCGCTCTCTGGTCATCATATTCCCGTTGGTCGTGCTTCGTGAATTCTTGGATGAGTTTGTTCAATTCCTCCACCCGAGCTCCGGACCTGAAATCCAGCTCCGGGAACGAAGGCTTGTTGTTACAGCCCAGGGAGGCTGCCTTGCTGGCGGTGGGAGCCGCCATCTTCATGCAAAACGCGCTGAGTAGCAGCTCCGCGGCGGCAGCAGCACCCACCCCCGCCCCCCACCCCGCCCCCCTGGGCCTCCTCCCCTCGCCTGCTCCCTGGCTGTCGCCCGGGCCGGTGGGCGTGCTGGCGGGCAGGCGTCTGGGCGGGCTGTCCTCCGCTCTGTGCGCTCCGGGCGTCCCAGCTTCGGGAGGAGCTGGACTGCAGCGAGGGTGCGTGTGTGGCCCCGACACCCTTTCCTCCGGCCCCACGCCCGCCCGGATGCTGCGGGTCCCTGCCCTCCCCTGGCCTTAGCTGGCAGCGGAGACAACGGTAGTAGAGCCAACTGGAGCCTCCCCCAGGGCGAGGAAAGTGAAGTGGAAACAATGTGAAATTCACCAGCTCTGAAATCAACAAGCTGCCGGCTCCAGTGTTACGGAGCCAGCACCAGCGTCCCATTTAAAGGGACAGCGCACCCAGTGGAAAGAAAAATAAATAAATGACAGAGGGCTGTGCGTCTCTGCCACTTGCCAATCTGTATTCGGGCAGACGCTCGAGGTGTGGACGTATTTTTCCTCCACCTCCACCCTCCACCCCTTTGGGGGCAGGGCTTGCCGAGCATGTTCAAAGAGAAAGGAGTCTTCCTCCGTCTGATTTTAAGGGCGGTGTCCTGGGCAAGAATGTCAACACCTTTTCCCATTTCTATCCCAAGAACTCCCGTGCCTTTAGGTGGTGAAAGAACCTGACCTAAAGAATATGAAACCTATCTTATGCTCTTTTTTTTTGGCCTAAATTGTCAAGCATATTTTTAAAAGATGCCCACGCTGTCCCATATGGACACTCATTAGCCACGAAAGTATCCCTACCTTTGCCCCAGGTAATTAATTTTCCTGCATAACAACCTATTCAACTTAACAAACATAATGAGTTAATGAAGTCCAAACGCTCTTATGTAAAGGCAGAAACGGATGAGTGGGTGTGGGGGAGGGGGAACAGAATGAATTGCCCCAGGTTCCAATGAATGTTGAATGACTTGGTGAAAATTCTCATTCAACAACCACAATTTGAGCACTCATTATTTGCCAGGCACAGTGCCAGAACCTAGATAGACAGTGATAAAGCAAAAGACATGGCTCTTGTGGTAGAGTTACACTTACTTGACAAGGCAGGTCTCATCTAAGTCACAGTCCTTTAGACAGAAAAGGATCTCTGAGATCTTTTTAGTGTTTATTAAGTATTTGACTCAAAAAATAAGAAGGCCCATTGACTCTTAGAAACCAAGATCATCTTCCTCCCTAATTCTTCAAAATATTTTCTCTGTCCCACAGTCCCTGGTTTAGATGAAGCCTTTTTCATTTTTTACGTGAGTTCTTGGCCCAGAACACATACTGTTTTTTTATCCTTCCAAGAAAGTTGAGGCTTCACCATGGTATTTTCCTGTAAAATGGGGATAGTAATAATTCCTATCTGTTTGGTTGCTTTAAGAATCCCATGACATAAAACAGGCCAAGCACTGAGTATAATGTCTGGCATAATCAACTCTTTGTAAATGTTAGCTATTATCAGCTGCTACCATTGTTGTTAGTTCTGGTAGCGTAGTACCTAAGGCACTTGACTGCTAACCAGAAGGCTCGTGGTTCAAACCCACAGCCACTCCTCAGAAGGAAGGATGGGCCATCTACTTCCATAGTGATACCAACTCGGAAAACTAAGGAGGGGTCACTATGAGTTGGGTCCGACTTGATGGCAGTGAGGCTTTTTTTTTTTTTAACTATTGTTTTTATAAAGTTAATTCTTTCCCTTTTCCAATTTATCGTTGCCATGGTGATCTTTACACAACACCAATCTGGCCACTGATACCTGGAATTCCTCTACTTTTCACTACCTCCTCAACTTTACACCAAGACCAATTCCATATTGCCTTCTCCGTAAAGTCTCTGAGACCTTCTGCTCCAAATTGGGGGTAATCTCTTCCTCCTCAGACACCCCGCTGCATCCTCTCAGAACCGTTCACAAGCCACCAAAGATATTGACCTTACTTTATAATTGCCTATTTAAATTTCAGAGTATGAGATTTTTAAGGACATGGACTATGCTTTATTCATCTTATTTCCCCTAGCACTTAGCCCTCTATGAGAGTCCTCTGTGTTTCTTGAATCAAGTAAGGAGTGGAGAACTTTGGCATGACCAGTTAACTTCTCTTGCTTTCTGTTTCCTTCTCTTTGAAACAAGCTTTATCACCCTCTGTATATTAAAGAGGGAGGATATATGTCTAGAGAAATGGTGGTAGACAGATGAGGAAGCCACTTAAAACCTCTCTGGCTTTCACACCTTTGCTGTGTAGTACTAATTTCTCATCCTGAGAGTGCATTTTCTTATCTGGGCGGTGGTATAATTTATGCACATTGTTGGAATTCCAGTACATATTGATTAACTGTCATCGATCAATGCTTCTCTCATGATCAATGACAGGCATCTGTGAGAGAGCTGGCTGAGGCACAGTCATCCTACGGGTCAGAATGGTCCTGGCTCAACATGCAAGCAACAACCTCCAAGCTCTGTGGTAGAGTTAAAAATACTTCAGGCAAAGAAGTCAGGACACTGTTTTCTTTGTTAATTTCCAAAAAAGTATGAATGAAGCATTGCTCTCCCTTTGTTCCCACCTTTCTTTGTTATATTTATAGTCACAGTAAGAGAACAAGTAGTTGCTGGAATTGTTCTTACTGTGCCTTCGCTCTGGGCCTTGGGTGTTTTAACTGAGTGAGTTAATAAATGGTCTTTCTGCTGTTCCCTGTTGTCTTTTCTGTTTTCCATCTCCAGATCAGAACTCTGTGAAGCAATGACCCTCAATGAACCTGTATGTTTAAATTAAGTACCTTTAATAAGCCCTCATAGAACTCTAATAAGATGGTATACATATCCTTTGTTAAATTTGCAAAATCAAGAAAGTGGGTTAGAAACTCTACTTTCCTGGACCAGTCTTTTGGGAGACTATTTTAACCTTTGGGCCTACTACACTAGGAGCTCGTCAAGCACAAGAGCTCGGTACCTTTGTAAATACTGCATGTAGTGCAGTTCCTGACCCATTTTACGACCTTCATGAGTATTTTTGAATGAATGAATGAGCTAATATACTATTCCCCAAAGTACAGAGAGTCAACATTTAGGTGATTTTCACTACAATTTAATATTTCAAAGTAACTTTTCCATAGTTTCCCAACTATCACTGAGGAGTTGTTACAAATGGAAATATTTCTACTTGAGTTTAATTAAATGCTTCTATTTCCATGTGCATTTTCTTTCTGTATATGACCTAAGAGAAAGAACCCTAGTGGGCAATGGTTAAGAGCTTGGCTGCTAAGTGAAAGGTCAGTGGTTTGAACTCACTAGTGGCTCCATGGGAGAAAAGACCTAGGCATCTGTTCCCATAAGGATTAAAAAACCCACTGCCACTGAGTCAATTCCAACTCACAGTGACCCTGCAGGACAAAGTAGCACTGCCCCCATAAGGTTTCCAAGGCTGTAAATCTTTACAGAAGCAAACTGCTTCATCTTTCTCCCGTAGAGTTGCTAGTGGATTCAAACCACCCACCTTTTGGTTAGCAGCCAAATGCTTTACCCATTGTGCCATCAGAGCTCTTAAACCAAAAGAAACAAACCAAACCCACTGCCACTGAGTCCATTCCCACTCAAAGCGACACTTTAGGACACAGTAGAGCTGCCCCTTAGGATTCCCAAGGCTGTAAATGTTTATAGAAGCACTCTGCCTCATCTTTCTCCTGTGTAATGACTGGTGTATTGGAACCTCTGACATTCTGATTAGCAACAAAATGCTTTAACCACTATTTCACCAGATCTCCTTAACCTGTAAGGATTACAGCCTTGGAAAACCTGTGGGGTAGTTCTACTCTGCCCTATAGGGTCGCTCTGAATCAGAATAGACTTGACATACAACCACAGTAACAATATGAGAAAGAAAAGAGATGGGGAGGAAGGTGAGAGAGAAAGACAATCATTATAAGGAGATATTAAAGAGTTTCTGAGCTTGTAATAAAAGGTCAGATTTCCAGAGTTTTGAAAAAGGATTTGAGATAGGTCAATGGAGTCGGACATGTAAATAATCACTACAGTAGGTCCTACCTTCACCTGCTCCTGCAGCATAGAACATACCAGAGAAAAACCCTGGTTCTCAACTGCTGTCCCACTTAGAGATGAAATGCCCCCTCAGTCCCCCACCTCTGAATTGTATCACCTTGTGCAAAGAGCTTTCATTTGCTTCTCTAGAGCTGTTTGTTTTTAAACACAGCTCTGAAGTTTCTTTGACAAACTCTCAGCCATGAATAACTGAGCTGTGCCGAGCATGTATTAAAAATAGCAAACCCCACATCCACATGATGGATTAACAAAATACAATTTTAAACAATGATTCTCTGGTTTGACAGAGATTTAAATAGCACCCCAGGCTACAAGATCCAGACGTCTTGGGCAGTTGTGTTTTTAAGAAAAGTCTGACAAATAAAAGTAGCCCAGGTTTCTTAGGATTTAAAATGTAGACAGGAAAAAGAGAAGCAAACATCACAGTCACATAGAGTATTGAAGGTAGAAGAGACTTGGGAGGTAAATCCCATCCCTCACTTTTATTTTCTATGTAGGAGAAATGGCATACAGAAGGGAAAAGGAAACTTGTCTACATAGTAGCGTCAATGTTATTTCCATTTTTCATTCTAACATCAAATTTAGTGTTTATTATGTTTCCAGAGTCGTGACTTGGTGTTTATAGGTGAAGTAGAAAACACGCTTTTTCTTTATATTTCTATTGATGAAATTTAAAATTATAGTGATTTAATAGAAAAATGGCAATGACAATAGTAAAGATGGCATATCATATTTCCACAAGCATTTCTCTGCTGTCATAGTTAACTCCCTACTACTTTGGTTTGCCCATTTGCTGGGAAATCTGCAACATACGATCATCAATTCTAGACCGCCAGAAGGGGAATGGAAAATGCTATTGAATTTAGCCAGAATCAGGATTAAACAGAAAGAAGAAAGTCGCCTTGGGCAAAATGCTCACAGTGCACTGGAAAGTTAAATCTCAATAAACCAGAAATTGCTGACATTTGAAATTACCTGACTACTGCTTTTTTCTCACCAAACCTACTATCGCTGAATGGATTCCAATTCATAGAGACCATGTTGGACAGAACAGAACTGGCCCATAGGATTTCCTAGACTGTAATCTTTAAGGGAGCAGACCACCAAGTCTTTTCTCCCTTGGAACTGCTGGTGGGTTTGAACTGCTGACCTTTCATTTAGCAGCTGAATGTGTACACCATTCCATCACCAAG